GACCCACTGAAGGGGTACCCCAATTACCTCACCCCATGGCCCTGTTCAGCATGGAAGAAGCCAGAGCGGTGTGCATTCCGATTCCATATCCACAAGTTGGGTAACCTCTTCAGAGGATGGTGTGATAAGAATAGGAGGTAGGAATTGGCTAGGCAGTTAGGGTAAAAAGACCCCAAAGAAATGTAACCAGTTTCTTGACTAAAACTTACAATGTCTTTGGGCCTCTTAGCAACACACTCCCTTCCAAAGGCCAAAAATGTCAAAAGTGTTTGGGAGCTTCTGTCTAATCCTTAAAAGATTTTAGGGTTACCTCTTCAGAGGGGGAATATTAGCGTAGCCAAAAGCCCCATAAGAAAAAATAAAAGAAGAAAGAGTACATGAAGTTATCAGAAAAATGTAATGGGGAGATAGGGGAGGAGTTGGAGGGGAGGGTGTAGGCATGGATTTGATCAAAACACCTTATATGCATATATGAATTTCTCAATAAATTATTTTTAAAAAACAGACAAATAGAAAACAGAAGAGCCTCAGACAGGTATACACTTGAGAACTTGAGATATGCCAAGAAATTATAGGGAAAAAGAAATGAAATGAAATCCCTACCTCAATCCAAAGACAAAATATATAATTGCAGAGTAATTAGTGTCTTAACTGTGAACAATAGAAATGTTCAAAAACATTTTAAATAAAAGGTAGATGATATCTTCGGGACACTGGAAAAGGAAAAGGTTTTAAAAATAAGGTACATGATATATTTAATTATAACTGAAAAATGCATTGACTTGACTCTGTTAACATTTCAAAAATCAATGCACAAGTTAAGGGAAGCTATTTGGAATGCATATGCTTGGAAAAGATTAGGAATGAGAGTGTATGAAGAGCTCCTAAAGATCAACTTTCAAATGAATTTTTAAAGACAAATTCATTTTAAAAGTCATCAAAACATGAATAGGCATTTCACAGAAAGGGGAAGCAGAAGCTTAGACTCACAACTTCATTGATAATTAGGAAAGTTCATGTTTAAATCTCAAGTACACAGAATTTTCCAAACACATAATTGATAAAATTGGGGAAAAAAGCTGATAATTCTAAGTATTGGCATGCATATAGATCTTATGGTTTACGGTTTACTTGGCAGTGAAACTCCTCAAAGCTGCAGGCTTTTCCATCTATTTGCTTCTAGTCTGTCCTTTCTTCTAGCAGCCACAGTCAAAAGCTGTTACTGTAGTTCTCAGATCTAAAGTTCCTTTTCCTTCCTTATCAAATCCTGGTATCTCCCTTTAATGGAATTAGTATGAGATCATCAGATATAAGTGGGAGGCCACATTCTTGGTCTGATATCTGACTCAAGGACAAATCTTAAAAGGATACTTTTGAGTTAAAACTGGGAGGGAAGATAAAACAGTGGGAGAAAAAGAGGAGAGATAAATAGTGTCTAGCCAGTATAAAAAACCAGAAGGAATCATATTAGTCCAAAACTTATTGAAAAATTACACATACAATATCTCTAAATGAGTCCATGAATATAGCTGAAGACTACATAAGAAACAGTGCCAGACAAGAGAAACCTTCCTTGGAGTTGTAGGCCAGGGTAGTCCAAGAGACTCCCAAAATTACACAGGCTATTGACATAGTCCTTGATTGATTGCCTCCCAGAACGGGATGGTAAAGACCCTATTGCTGAAGACAGGACATAATTTAGACACAGGATTTGGAACAATGGAGCTAGAACTAACCTAGAAGTCACCTCCCTTGAAGGCTAGATCTCCTAGCTTTGGAGAGCACTACACAAGCTGCTAAGGAAGAACATCAATGGATGGTTCAACCCCAGCTTCCAGGCCTAAAAACCACATCAGTGACCAGCATAGCAAACAACATTGGTGCAGTAGTGGCACTTTATCTTCAGGGTAATCAACAGCTACCTAATTGGACTTAAAGCCCGCTGAATGGGAGGGAACTCATGTGTGGTACTGTAAACCTAGCCAAATACACATAGTTGAAAAGGTCATAGATCTTAGAGAAAACTCCAAGGCTGTCACATCCCTAGGTAAATGTAATTTTTTATTACGGGCAAAATATGGATCCTTAAGTTTATAGACAACTATCCCAGTCACCACCCATCAAAGAAGCGTCTTTTTCAAGAGACAGATACCTACAGAGTTCCACAACTGGTCACACACTGAAATTGTCTATGAATTTTCCAAGCCTAAATGGCACATCTAGGATGCAACCTCTACTCCTAAGGTTTATAGAATATAGAACAAGGGATGAAGAGAACACTAATGCATCTTTCAAAGGAGCTCCCTCATGCAACAGAGGGCCAGGAAAACAAAAAGTCATAAAAGGCCAAAACACAGAGAATAAGAGTCTGCAGAGTGTGGGTCCTCAGACAGGACTCCTATATTAAATTCCACCTACCCAGGGCTCAAGGACCATTGCAGAAGATGAGGTGGAAAGATTGAAAGAGCCAGGGAAGAGGTGCATGACCACATGGAACTAGTCCTACAGGCGTCTGGGACTCTTCTCATAAGAACCTACAGCAATGGTATCAGCATGAACAAGACCCATGCAAATTTAAGCAGACAAAAACCCAGCACAGAGGGGCTGGAGAGATGGCTCAGTGGTTAAGAACACTGGTTGTTCTTGCAGAAGACCCAGGTTCGAATCCCAGCACCCACATGGCAGCTAACAACTGTCTATAACTCCAGTTCCTGGAGATCCAATGGCTTCTTCTGTCCTCCATGGTCATTGTACGACATGGGTGCTCTTACCTACATGCAGGCAATGAACACATACACATAAAATAAAAATAATAAATAAAGTATTTTTTTTAAAAAAAACAGCACAGAACTGTGGAAATGAACACCAGGCCCCAATATTAGTCGAAGAATTATTGGCGGCTGATTACTGCTGGGTGGGGAAGAGCTGATCTTCTTAAAGGGAAGAGACCCTAGAGAGCCTGACTAGATCCCAGTGGATGAATTTGCACTGAGGGATACCTGGGGACACTAACTTTACATGATTGGCCTTAACACAAATGACAGAACATTTGAACACCAGTGTGGGGTGGGGTATGGGAGGGAGCCAAAGGGAAAGGGGTTATAAAGATGATTTTCTGTATGAAATACACAAAAATTTGATTTAAAATTTTCTAAAACTTCCCAATATTAATAGCTTGATTGGGGGACCAGACCCTTTTTTTTTTTTTTTTTTTTTTTTTTTTCTGATCTAGACCTGCATAGTTAGAAAAGGCTCCTTCCTATCTTAAGGCCTGCTTTGTATTTTCATTTTGAAATGGCCCACATAGGAATGTAGCCAGTCCTGTTAGAGACCAGAAGCAGTTGGTATTTACAATTCCAAGATTAAGTCAGAGAGTTTCTCTAACTTTTTAAAAAATTTTGTTAAGTCAACCAACTCTGGTCTAAACTTATTTCTTTTTTCCAGTTCCTTCCTAAACACTGCTGGTAACAAATCAATATACAGCATTAACATTCAGCATGGTATAGAAGCACAAAACATGTGGCACTGTCTGAGCAGGCAGGCAGCCAGTGGCAAGGAGGCTGGGATACTGGTGGCCATTTGTTGGAGGCAACACACGTGGAGTCAGTTAAGATCTGTGGCCCTGATCTGAAGGGCTAAGTGCCAGAAACAGCTGAGTTAGTTGACATGTCCTCAGACCTGATGTCACCTCCGGCTGACACTGGGCTAAAAATCTCCTGAGGAAAGAACTCAAAATGCTTTCATCTTGAAGGTTCAGACATGCAGGCATGTCCACCCAACTGGATGAGAAGCAGCACCTCATGACAAGAAAGGGACAATACATTCTCCCAGAGCCTTAAGTTCAAAAGGTATGTAAGTTTGGGATTACCGGGTCACTCTGACCAAATCACTCTCCTTATTTGTGGCCATGGAGGGAAGAAAAAGCTGCTTGTGAAGCTGAAGATGCTGAAAGCCCTGGGCACCTAATCAACTACACAGGCCCCTGCAGCAGCTGAGCACAGGAGAGTGAAGCCATGTCCTTGATTTCTGGCAGTAGAACTTTGAGAGCAGGTAGCCCAGGGAGACAATGATGCTAAACAGTCCCAGCCCAGGGACTAAACTAAGGCAGAGAGAAGTGGGGCAGAGAGCAAGGCATTGGTCGCTGGCACAGGCATTGTTAAGAGGCCGTAGCTGTTGTACAGATGGTGCCCAAGCCAGAGCCTCTCCACAGAAGTGGCTGACGAATGGAGGTCTGGATGGGGTGGCATGGGCTCTCTGGAGCAGCAGCTGGGACACACAGTGGGTCCCTGCAAAGGCGTAGTGATGACCTGGCAAACTGGGACTACTCAAAGACCTGCGTTGGTTCTGCCAGAAAAACTAGAGTATAAACGATCCTGGAAAGGCCCATCCCACAGCTAAGCAAAGAAATCTAATGTGATTAAATTCTTACCTGATAAGTTCCTGGTTGTATTTGTGAATAAAAAGGCTAGTACTGATCAAAAATGAATTCTAAGTTTCAAAAAAATTTAGTACTCAAGAAAAAACACAAAAAATTAAACTTTTAAATCAATTTATACTATACAAAGACTTCAGTATACAAAATGAGGTTATTTTAAAATATTGCCAGTTAGATTTCCTGATTTCTACACAAATCACCTGCATACATTACAGGTCCATAGAGGGATCTCCCTGTGCAACAGGACTGAAATTAAAAGTCTCAAGGGGCCAGTTTCCACCTTCAGGTGCTAGATCCCCATGAAGAATGCTGTCCTGGGCCAGGGAGATGGCTTGGTGGATAAAGCCACTTACTGCACAAACCTGGTGACCTAAGTCAGGTATCTGGAATCCCACATAATGCTGGAAGAATAAAACAGACTGCATAAAGTTGTCCACTGACACCTCCACATGCTCTGCACCACACAATAATAAACAAGCAAAGACTACTGGTGGCTCTGTAGGGAGCCTGAATCCTTAAGAAGGTAAAGAGCCTAAACTGGCCATTTAGAGATCAAATTTCTGGCATGACATTCATTAAGGTTGTACCTTCGAAGCGCAGCAGTGTGAGTGAGCTGCTTCCTCCAGCCACAGATGAAGGGGCTGGCTGCATCTAGGCTTCCCAAGCCCTTCATCCACAGTGACAGCTGAATTTCCGTTTTCACTCCAGCTCAGTGCCAAGGCCTGAGTACAAATAATCCTTTTATCTCCCAATAAAGGGGAATTACCTGCATTCTGCAGCTCTATTCTCTTTGAAGAGCTGTCTTTAGAGCTGGAGGCTTTGCATTTCCTGGAGTGGTCGCATTAAAGACGATTTTCACTGATCTCATTGGGAGATCTGGAGGGCAGGGAGTTGATGATATTGCCACGTAGCTGCCCTGTGGAAAGAATTGAGACTTTCCATTTTAAACAGATTTCAGAGCACAAAGGTCATTCTCAAAAACTTTTCCGAAAGACCAATTAAGTCTTCAAAGCCACACAGTTTAGGGGCCAGCTGTTACCTCAGAACAGCATGTGTGGACACTTGGAAAGGACATAATTTGAGCTGCTATCATCTTTCCTTGCCCCCGTGGATATAATCTCACCCTGATAATTTCCTGCTGTCTACGGTAACACCGTCATGTAATAGACCATTTGAGGTAGTAAAGCCTTCAGTTTTCTTCCACAAAGACAGCTCACATTCCTCCCAAAACTCTGTTAAAACTTCATCACCAGTGGCAAAGTCACCCACATTTTGACCTGGGGTGAAGTCTCCCCAAACAAGCCTGCTTCTCCCAGCCTTCCACAGCACTGCTCAGCTCTCTGCCGGACAGGTCACTTTGGTTTTTTTTTTTTTTTTTTTTTTTTTTTTTTTTTTTTTTTTTTTTTTTTTTACTTTTCAATTGAGCAAACTAAGGTGGACAACTTTAGACAGCTTTCCTAAGCATACGGTCCTGGTAGAGGTGAAGTGTTTGTTCAAGTCTGATCCTGAGGTCTGGGTCTTTCCCAAGACAATAATCCTGGAAATGAGTGTCTTTACCCTTGGCACCTGAAGCAAGGTCTAGCAGCTGTCCTAGCCTCTACTCACTAGATAGATAGCACCCTATACACACAAACTTTGTGACAATTAAAACTGTATTTGACAAATAAGAGTGTATGTATTTATATTATACAAGGTGATGTTTGGTATATGTATATATGGTGAAATGATTACTAAAATGAAATTAATCAAAATATCAAAAAATGTGTTGAGAAATTCCAAAGTCTTTATGAGGCAAAACCACCCTTCTTAGGGACCATTGATGTGAAAGCATTCGAGATTTTGCTCTCTTACAATGCCGAGGTTCTACAGTTCTGAGAAATATGCGGACTAATTTACAGACCCCAACCACATCTAAAGGACTTATAAGGTATGCCCTAAGAAGTAAGAATCAATGGTACTTCAGCTCTTGTACCTAAAAAGCCCCATTCCCACCATTACTGGAATGGCGTCCCCTCTGTTAAAGAAATATTCACATTGCAAAAATGTTCAAAAGCTTCAACAGCCAGCTTCCCAAAAAACATTCACGGTCTTCCCAATTCCTTTCAGCTCCCCTCCCTACCCTGAAACTTCATGCCGTCCAAATGAGACAACTCACCATGGTAAAAATAAGCTCACTCTCGGCTTTGTTGCTCCACGTCAGAGCTCCCTGTGTCTTCCCAGTCCATTCCGACACCCCCTCTTTGCCTTTGGAATTCCTCCCCCCACCCTACCTTTGGAGGTTTGGGGTTTTTTTTTGTTTTTTTTTTGTTTTTTTTTCTGATCACTGCACCTTCCACTCAGTCCCCTAGCATAGCTACTGGAGCTGGTAGGGAATGGCTCGCTCTTCTGTTTATGGCTGATGTGTCTCTTGTGTCTCTCTCATCTTACCCATCCCTGTGGAGACTGGGCCACATTTCCTGCTGGAATGAAAGTTTCTAACGAAGGCTATTTTTGCCCTTCTATTCGGTCTATTTCTCTTGGCAGATACATTTGCTTATTAGACAAAGCTAGATTAGATTAGAAATGGGATTGAATGGATAGAACACAGGTAACGTGGGCAGTCTCTACAGAGATTAGAATAAATCTCGAACAGTCTGGGTGATGTAGTGAAGACACCTGAGGTCTGTAATTGGCCTTTCTAGTGAAACAGGACCCTTTGACATGGGCTGGCTCCAGGGTTGCACCCACTGAAGTCAACTACAACTCAGTGGTGCCCAGCGAGGAGTAGAGGAGCAAAGGGATAGTGCCCATGCTCTCAGTGAGTGTGCTCAGGTCTGTATCCATTTGGAAGGGGATATTTTTCAAATTCCCCTAATGGTGTCCTAAGATAGGGAAGCCCTGGGAGTAAGAGCTCCTCCAGGCAGGGGGTCCTATGGCCGACATTTCATCTACCAATTTGCCTTTTCTTTATTCCTTTTATCAAGATCGATTACACTTTTTTGCCCATCATAATCAACCTTGTTTTTATAACTACTTCTTGACTATGAGAAGTTGGTATTAACTCATTCAATAAACACCTATTAATCCTTCAGTGCATGGGCTTCAATTATGGACTACAGGAACGGAGAACACAAAACCCCTTCTTCATCTTGCTTATACTCAATCTTCTTATTCACTCCTCTAGTGTCTTACTAGATAACATTCATAAAGGGTTAAAGATGTATGTATGCTAAGATATGGCCAGATTTTTGTAACAAGCTTTTGTAGAGAACAGAGTTTCTGAATCAGATGAATACGAGTTGGTCTGGAGCAGTCATTGTAGGAAAGTGACTTTGCCTGGTCGCTGATGTAACTAAATGAGTATCTCGGAGAGCCTTCAAAAGATAAAGTTTCGTCCCCTGTAGTTCCATGGTCCAATTCAGCTGCAGCTGGTTCAGGCAATTGTTCTAGTTTGTTTATCCATTGCTGTGACAAAACACTCTGACCAATACCAACTTGAGGAGGAAAGGATTTATTTAGCTTACATCTCCAGGTCACAGTTCATCAGGGAGTCCAAGGTAGGAATTCAGGGCAAGAACATGGAGGCAGGAGCTGAAGCACTGGCCATGGAGGAATGCTGCTTACTGGCTTGCTCCCCTGGCTCATACTCAGCCCACTTTCTTATACAACATAGGCCTCTGAAGCACTGGCCATGGAGGAATGCTGCTTACTGGCTTGCTCCCCTGGCTCGTACTCAGCCCACTTTCTTATACAACACAGGCCCACCTGCCCAGGGGTGGCACCATCCACAGTGGGCTGGACCCTCCCATATCACTCAATAACCAAGAAAATGCCCCCACAGATATGGCCACAGGCTGGTCCAATGGAGGCAGTTCCCCAGTTGAGGCTCCCTAAACCTGGGTGTGTCAAATTGACACTAAAGCTATCCAGCACAGGCAATCTGACCACATTTTCCAAGAGAGTCTACGCATCTCATGGCATTTGCACTTTGTATTAGCGTGCAAACTGAACAGCTTCCAGAAACCAACCCTGAGCCATTTTAATCTAAAATTGCCCAAGAAGGCCTCTGGTCACAGAGGAGCAGGGCTTGTGCAAATCTGTCCATATGAAAGCTGCAAGTCTAACCTTTAGTGTTCCTGTTGTCTGAAACTGTTTCATCTTGAGCGTTTCATTTTACCATCCCTCTGTTGTGTCTTACAGATGGCAAACTGTGTACCAGCTACAACCGAGGGCTCATCTCGAAGGCAAAAATCAAGGCCATCAAGTACAGCATTGTAATCATTCTTGGTAAGCAGTGTCCACACCCGTGTTACAGAACTGTATAAAGATTCTGAAAACAAACTGGTGGTGAAGAGCCCTTGAAAGGAAGGGACTTGTTACAGGTACTTCTACCGTTGATTGGAAAGAAATGTGTGAGATTCACCAGCATGTCTGGCTGCTTCAAGGGCCAATATTTAGTTCCTAACCCCTCTCCTTAGAGCTGCCTACCAAGACCATGAGCTGTATAATATGGAGAAAATCTGATTAGGATCTAACTATCCAAATCTTATATTCAGATTACACTTGACTCAGCTGATTCCTTTAAGACACTGTCTCCTCCAGACCAAGAAGAAAACGTATGTGTAGGCCATTTCTTCTAGACATTTAATTTGAGAATCACTGCTAACACTTCCCTCATGGTCACTGTTTCTGCCCTTCCTCCTTCTCGTCTTCTTCCCTTTCCTTTTCCTTCTACACTTAGGACCCATAAAATTAGTTTGCACTGCTAACTCTCAGAAACATTCAGACAAATGCACCGTGTGCTTCCTGCCTTGTTTTGTTTCCCAGCAATGACTACTCCTTCAGGCCTCCCTAAGAAGTCTTTTAAAATAACCTCCTCTAGCTTAATCCCACTTTGGTTGTTCTCTGTGCTTTCTATTTCTATCTGACATTATACTCATTCACAAAGTCTTGTTAAGATATATCTTTATATAGTCTATAAGGATATAGAGAGGTTTTCTGTAAGGTCTTTTAGAGAGATATAATATATATGATATCCTTTTAAAGATCTACCTCCCCTCCTAGAGTCATAAATCCATAAGGCAATGACTTGCTCTTGAGTTACATAATTCTCACCAAGGCCTAAAATAGGGTCACACATACACGGCTGAATTAATATTTGTGGCATGAACAAAGAAAGAAGGATATGCAAGGTGGATATGAAGAAGGGTATGGAAAGAGGTTTGTGCTCTCTCCTTTTTATTGAGCTAGTATAGCCCCTCCCTGCTCCTCTGCCAGCTCTCGGGAGCTCCAAGAAGGCATTAGCTACATGCCAAATCACCAGAACAGCTCGTCTCCCCTTTCTAAACTGCAAAATGACAAACAGACCACATGCAGCTTGAATCAGCCAGCAGACTACATGCACACAACAACACTGCAGGCAGAACTGGGGAGAGACACATACAATTAACTCACCAGGGGTCTGAGAACCTTTCTCAGAGGTGTCTGGATTAGATCAAAAACTCTCTTGTCTTCATAATCAGAATTACAGATGCACATTCTCTGGATGTTGAGAAGGGAGATGAATATTTAAAAACACATTCCAAATCCAGGATAACCCTGTTCAGTCAGGAGCCATATTCACAGCCATGTGAGATCCTTTCAGTCTGTAGGTAAAGATGCCCAAAAAAGTGTCATCAAGTTAGACCAAAGTGGCTATATCTACAATAAATAATTTTGAAATGTCCCTTTGTCATCGTAAAATGATATGTATCCATAGTACATAATACATGTCTAACTACTGTAATTTTTAAAGTCAGAATATTGCTCTAATATTTATGTGAAATAAGAGGAAAACACAAAAATAATTCATAAAACACCAATGGCAAGTATTATGTATAACCATATAGGCCCCAAAACACTAGAAGAGTAATGAAGAAATCAGATGCTTGCACCTAGACAACTACAAGTGATATCCAATACAGGTATGCTCTCATGGAGACATAAAAAAGTAAGCAGTTCTACTGTCACTGACTTGGTTTTCTGAACAGTAAACAAACCCTGGTAAAGTTCCAAATTATCTCTTCTCCATTTACAAGGGAGTTGTTCTTCTGAAAACTTCACTATTTGTTAAAAGGTCCAAGTAGCTGGGCCTGGTGATGCACACCTTTAATACCTGAACTCAGGAGGCACTTGTAAGTTCAAGGCCAGCCTGTTCTACATAGTGAGTTCCAGGCCAGCTAGGCCTACAGGGAGACCCTGTCTCAAAAAGACAAACAAACAAACAAACAAAAAAAAGATTCATGTGTACCTATAAAAGGAGCTCACATTCTAAACCAGAGTAATTATAAACCAGCTTCTCTCCCACATGAACACCAAGTTGGGCATTCAAAAAGTATATAGGAAATATTCACTAGCCAGGCTGCTACCTTTAGTAAGCAAGAATGACTTCCCTGTGACACACACTAATAGACACAGGCAAACACATAGGCAGTGTTACTTTTGGTGTATTAGAACCACACTTCTGGGCCAGTAATGGGATTAACCACCCAGAGTCCAGAATGGTGAATGATGTTTGTGTTTGAATGGCTCACATTTAATACATTGCCACCATCTATAGCAAAAAAATCATGAGTTAATTTCTTTTTCCCATACTCTCCAGCAAATTACTGAATCCCTATCAAATGATCATAGAAGACATTTGCCCCTACATGCACACAGCCAAAGAAGTTGAATTCCTCTGAAAAAAATCTCTGGAATGAGAAAGGGGTTAATGGGAGTAAACTAGCAAAGATGTGACAAGAGAGAAGGGAAGCAGGTGTGTACAGGTGACCCAAGAAAACATGGTTCTGTGTTTATCTGTGTTCTCCAGAGAAATAGATCAATTGATTATAATCAGCTGGATAAATAGATGATAGATGATTGATAGGTGATAGATAGATGATAGAAAGATAGAGATAGATGATAGATAGATAGATAGATAGATGATAGATAGATAGATAGATGATAGATTAGTAGATGATAGCTAGCTAGACTGATTTTCTATAAGGAATTAGCTCCTGGAACCATAACAGCCAAGAATCACAAGATCGACAGCTGGAAATCCAGGAACGCCACTAGCACAAGTTCTTGTCCAAATATGAGCACAAAGGCTTGAGAACAGAATTGGCTACTCTATGTTCCAGTTGAAGTCCAAGCATAAAGATAGGAGAGGACCACTGTAACAGCTCAAAATAATCGAGTGGAAAGAGAGAAAATCCTTTCTCACTGGGCCTTACTGTTATATTCATGCCTTCAATAGAGCAGATGAGGCCCATTCACCTGCAGAGGGCAATCTACTTATTTTTTTTTCAGTCTACTGATTCAAATATTAATCTCATTCAGAAACATCCTCACAGACACACCTATAATAGCATTTAGCCAGATAACTGGGTATCCTAGGACTGTGTCAAGTTGACACACAGAATTAATTCTCACACTTTGGATTCCCACATTCCACACCCATCCTTTGAGGATTCGAACACACACACACAATGAATTTGGGCAGGAGTATTGGGTGGGGGTGTTCTGGAGAGGTTAAGTTAAACAAAGGAAAGAAATTTGAGGTCGTCAGGATGGTTTGCTCTTTGAAAATATTGGGATTGCTCTTTTCCCGCTTGTGCATCCTACAACTAGGAATGGCTGTCTGTCAGAACTCATCCTGTCTGTCTCAGGGAGTCTCTGAATGGTCTTGCTAATTTTCCTTCATCACTGTGTCTAGTGGGAGACCCTGGCCATGACTATCATGTCCCAGGCTTCCTGAAAGGAGTCCACAACCGTGGAAATCAGATCCCCTTTTCCATATAGAGCATCTGAGAAACCTCAGTTTGTGAATGTTGTTAGTAGGACATATGCATGCATATACTTAAGCAAACAAGGCAGCAATATAACATATATAACAGTTCTTAACAGAAAACCCAGCCCAGTATTTCTGAGAGCTCCCTGGTGCTAAAAAAAAAAAAAAAAAAAAAAATCCCTAGTGCCAAAAAAAAAATCCCTAGTGCCAAAAAAATCACAGTTAAAATTCCAGTCTTGGCCAACCAAGAAAGATGCCAAAGGTATAGCTGCTGTGGTGCTAATGACTCCTTCTCCATAGCCTTCATCTGCTGCTGGAGCCCATACTTCCTCTTCGACATGTTGGACAATTTCAACCTCCTTCCAAACACCAAGGAACGATTCTATGCCTCTGTGATCATCCAGAACCTGCCAGCCCTGAACAGCGCCATCAACCCCCTCATCTACTGCATCTTCAGCAGCTCCATCTACTTCCCCTGCAGGTAAGGGGTGTTCTTGCTTGTGTTAGACACACAGATAGCCATCACGTTTAGATAGTGATGCTCCTATTCCTCCCAAAGCTCTCTACGAGACTGTAGATTCACCACTTTATAGATGAGGTGCTAAGTCAAACTACTTCCCACTAGTTTGACAAATTCAAACTCGGACTCAGGCCATGGCCAGTGCTCTTTCTGTAGCATATCACTTCATGTAACAACCACCTCAGTGGTGACAACTGTGGAAGAGTTTTGTTTTGTTTTGTTTTTTAATGGAAAGGTTTCCACATAATTTGCCTCAATATAGTCCTACTGTGAATAGGATACAGAACACTTTTACCACTTCACAGGTAAAATGTCATAAAGTAAGGCTCCCAAGATTGAGTGACGTTGTTGAGGTTGCTGATAATTAGTAGCAGAGTTTAAATTAAATCCCTTGACAATTATTGTCCTTCTGCTCTTTTTCATCCATTTTCCTGAGCAAACTATAGGGAATAGATGGAGAAATTCATAACAGACAAAATATCAGGATGGTTTCAGGCTTTGCTTAATAGCAGTTCCTGGGTTCAGATTCTGCTTATCCATAGCTAAGTGTGACCTTGGGCTATGAACACCCATAAACTTCCATTTCTAGATATGTAAATTGGGACTCAGCCCAGTCTACTTTTTGGTCAGATGGTGTCTCTGTCCACCAGGCTCTGGTGCTGACCTGAAGAAGGGCTGCGAGTGGTAGAGAATGAGGCTCAGTTATTATAGCTTCTCCTTTTAGTAGGTCAAATTATTTTCCTTCACTGCTTTATTCTGACTTTCTCTAGGGAGCAAAGAGCACAGGATTCCAGAATGACTTTGCGAGAGAGAAGCGAGAGGCATGAGATGCAGATTCTGTCCAAGCCAGAATTCATCTAAACCCTGGGACAATGCCAGTGCTAGGCTGAGCCCTCTCAGCTCTCCTGGATCTCCATCACCAGTCTGTGCATGTGCATGGAGCCTGAGGCAGCTCCTCCTTCCTATCCCTGCATCACCTAGGGGGTGCACAAGGCAAACTTTCTAGTGAGGGCATGCCACCTTAATGTAAGCATTAGCCAACATGAACTCCTCTATTCTTTATGTCATTTAGGAAAGACACCTCCCTCTTCCTTGCCACTCCCAGATCTCCTTCTCATATCTCAGTGCCAGCAGTGGCTGTAGGTCTTCATGAACTGAACAGACAGGCAGAAAAAAATGGAGGGTGATCTGTGAGTCTTCTAATTAAAATTTTGAAAGAAAAATTGTTTAAATTAGACTTTCCCCCCAAGTTTTGGATTGGATATTTGCTGGGTGTTTGTCCCTGAAATGCCAAGAAACTCATTCCCAGGCACTGGCACTGTGCACATCCTCTGTGTACAGAAGGAGGTGTTGGCAGCAGGAAGTCCCAAAGCCCGCTGCATCAACAAGTGATGTCTGGAACCGACACAGCCCAGCTCCCAGTCCTGCATAACAAGGTCACTAGGTAACCGTGTTCTCTGAGAAGTTAAAAATCATATTAAATAGCTATGGTCCCTTGATTGTGAATCCCAGAGAGTTGAGACTTGGAACTGACAGGTCTTTGAGTCTCTCTAAAGGCACCTTTCCCCACATTCAGTGCTCAAGCCACTCTGAGATTGATTTCTCATACCTAAGGGACACTCCTTCCCCCTTTCACTGGCTGGGAGCAGGGCTCCCATGGCTTTTCCAGCATGATGTTTTTGTAAGCTCTTTATCTTCTTTGTATGTTGCAGCCTTTGTCTATCTAACACCTCTGCTGGGAAGTACTGGTGGAGCTTATTTTGACAGGTCGGGAGTTTGGTATTTATAAGTATAATCCAAGTGAAATATGACTAAATGTTTTCCAGTCAGTTTTTTTCTTCAGATTTTGCCATAAGTGGAAATGGGATAATTTAATTTGATTATGTGTACATCCCCACCCACAGCTCTGGGATGCGCGTGAGCACCTTATTTTTAGCTTCTCATACAGCCTTGACATTAAAATCTCCTTGGCAAAATCCTCCCTTTCAGAGTTTAAATTTTTTTTCTTTGGGCCGACTGCTAGCAGAGTCATTAAAATGCTCAGTCTATTTTAATAGCATTTCAGTCCTCGTTATGGTATCAACTCAAAGCAGTATGGTTAAGGTCATGGTGGCACTGTTTCCATAAATTCCATTTTCAATTCCATCTGACCTTAGAGAAAGTATCTCTTTAGGCAGAAACCAGACACTTTAACAACTGTCTCTCAGAAAATTAGTCTCTAAATTTGAGGAAACCAAACAATCTAGCTTTCTGTCTACACAACAGTTTTGAGAGTTGCTTTCATCTATGTCCAATCAGCTAAACTTGAGCTACCCGAGTGACTGAGACGCACTTTTCAACATTTCCCTTTAAATCAAGATGCGCCACAGAAGACCCACAGAACTGTTGTTGAAATCGCTTCCTGCACAGGAGCCAATTAACAAGCAGAATCTGGCAAGCATTCGAGCAGGCAAAACAGGAGGCCCAGGCTCTCTTGACAGATGCTTTCAATCTCTGTCAAGTTCTGGTCTGCAGGAGATGTCACATGCCTACTTCATCCATCAATCGATACTTAAAGTTAAGGAGTGCAGTGAGGGGCTTTGTGCTGTCAACCACACATGAAAGTAAGGGTTGTGAGGTTGGGTCTCTCATCCCAGAGGATTCTGGAGACCAGCAGCGTAACAGAATGGATTGCTACAGGAAGCTGATGCTTCAACAAAACTTGCTTTACACTATATGGATTCTGGAATCTTCGGTTCCATTGTTTGCTGAGCTTGGGAAATGTGATTTAGACATTATGATAACATTGGTGATCATTAGTCTTATGATCTTGGACAAATCATTTCATGCCTCTGGGCATCAATTTTTTCAACTCTAACATGGGGCCAAACTAAGGATCTTGAAGCTTAGAGACTGTACTGGATTAAACTATACCTGCACAGGGCGCTTCTAAGATTCCTTACTGTGGGGACTGAAAGTTCGGTGACTCAAGGCTGAGTCATATGCCCTTTGGAGGTGTAACTTCCCTCCCTATCACATGAACTCAGAAACTAACATAATGTCCCAACCTGGAAATAGAGTAAGAGCTCTTATAAAAAGTTGGGAATTTAGTGCAACAGTCTTGCTATTTGTAGCCTTTGATGCTGAAGTAGGACCAGAAAAGACTGCATGCTGGTGGGTAAAATAAAAGTTCCAGCATCTCACAGGAAGGTGTCAAGCAGTGTATGAGTACATTGTCACACAGCTTCAGGGCCAGGTGAATATTTAGGGTAACAAGAGGAGATATGCTTAATATATTCAGTCACACTATGGAAAGTGTCTGTCCACTTACTGAATTAAATTAGACGTGAATGGTAAAAGCTCTGTTTTCAGCCTATATGTGGAGCATAATTTAATTGAACTTTAATTTCAGCAAGCAACATCTCCCACCTTTTCCCACTGAAAACACTAATACCTTTTTAATGACTTATATCTGTGATTAATTCTGAGGACAAAAAGGCCCTTTAAACTAGTCCAACACGCATTTTAAACCTTCTTCTTAGCTTCATTCAAACAACTCTGTAGACAGATGCTCAGAAATGACCTTGCCTCTTCTTTCTACAGTCCTGATACTAATAAAAAAAAGGCCATAGGCTCCCGTCTGCTGAGGAAACAGGGAAACAAAATATGTTTATCAAGAAATAAAATGATTCTAGTTTTCTGAGATCATTTTAGGCAAGCTACAGACCTGCTGCTGGCAACTTCAGTTTGTGGGTTTTTTTTTTCTTCCACTCATAATTTGAATACAGTTCATCTTTTATGAAGCTCTACCAATGTTCTCTACAGCCTTGCAACTGCATCCTGGTGAAAGGTGGCCCAGTCTGCCAACCTCCTTGCATAGAAAAATATGAAAAAGATATGCTTCATTTCTCTGCAATTGCATTTTAAGAATTCATTATCCACAACAGGTTTGGTCCAGTTAACATTTTAAATGTGCAATTCTATCCTTACAGAATGTTAAAAATGGGTGGATAGTTTCCAGTCTGCTCAGACTCCTAAAACAGGTCCCAGAGGGTAACTCAAAGTTCCTATATACAATTGAATGTAAATCTAAAGGTGATTAAATGTAATTAAGTTGTTTCAAGTTCCACAATTACTTTGAATGGGGATAGAATATGGATTAAGATTGGATACTGATACATCAAGAATAGGCACAAAGCTTTCAGGGTAATTACTAAAAGAACAGAATCAAAATATGTTAATTTTCAAACTAAAAGGGGATAAAGTTGAGCATGGTGGCACACACCTGTAATCCCAGAACTTTGGAGGTGGAAACAGGAGGATGAGAATTTAAGGCTATCCTCAATTACATAGGTTCAAGGCCATGCCTGTCTGGAAGAGGGAGGGAAGAAAGAAAAGAGGGAGGGAGGGACAGAGGGAAGGAGGGAGGGAGGGCGAGAGAGAGAGAGAGACAGAGACAGAGACAGAGAAAGAGCGAGAGAAGCTGAATGATGAAGTCCTTGGCGTTCTCCCTATTCCCCATCTTCATGTCTCCCCAGCCTTGGATGACCAGTGCTTTCCTCTTTACTTCTATGAAATCAACCTTCGTAAGTGAAATCACTTGTCAGTTTTCCTGTGTCTGGCTTGTTCGTTTAACACAGCTCTCTTAAGTTTCTTCTTCATGTTGTTGCTGATGACAGGATTCCATCCTCTTTGCTCTAAAGTACCCATTTCTTCATCCATTCATATGTTGATGAACACATCAGTTCATCCCATATCTTAGCTGTGGTAAATACCATTGCAGAGAATATGGGAATGCAGATTATGCCTTGTAATGCTATGATTTCACTGAATTTTTTTAAATCAAACAATATAAAAGAAGAGAGAAACGGGAAAATAGGACAACTGGAACAAACAGAGAGGACATAGGAAATGGTAGGTTTTCACTCAAATGTATAAACAATTATAATAAATGAAATTAAATGTTCCCATTAGAAATCAACAATTGTCAGACAAGATTTTTTAAAATTATCTGTCATTTATAAAAGACATACCTAAAACACAAAAGTACAGTTTGACAATAGAAGAATGAGCCCAGGTAATCCATGGAAACAGTAGCTAACAGAAAGCTGACACAGCAGTACTAAGATAAACCAAGCAAATGTCAGGGCTTAAAATTTAATTTAAACAGGGACACTTCATAATGATAGTTGTTAAATAAGATAGAAAGCAACTCAAAACTTCAGTGCACACGCCCTCAAAATACACACTTTGAAAGTTTGTGAGAAATAGAAAATAGAATAGAAAGAATCCTGTCTTTCTTTATTCCAGTAATTAAAGCAGGCAAAACGCAAGCCTGGCCCGGATAACCCAAATGACATGATTAGCACAGGTAGGGTGTTTCTTCTACTGCCAGGAGGAGACATTGTTTTTTGAACTTATGTGAAACAGCTATAAAGGTAGCCATATGCCAGGCCACAGAACAAGCTTTAAGCACTTAATAAAGTGCTTATCATGCAAATGTGAGGACTTGAGTTTGGATCCCCAGCACACATTTAAAGCACTGGGCATGATGGTGCACACCAGTAGTCCTAGCTCCAGGGAAGCAGAAACAGGAGGATCCCTAAGCTCACTGGCCAGCTTGTATAGCTGAATTGGTGAGATTCAGGTGTAGTGAGAGACCCTGCCACAAAAAATAAGGTAGAGAATGACCAAGGAAGAGACCTGATGTTGACTTCTGGCCTCCACAGGCACACACTCAAATGAGTATACACACATACATACACACACACACACACACACACACACACACACACACGCACACACAGGTGCATGCACACAAATTAACACACACACATTACTATTTATAAAATTCCAAATTGTAACACTGTGTGGGAAAGAGAGAGATCCCTAATTTGAGAACTGGCAGGGTTCTATGTCCTCCTGGAGCCAGCCTGGAACAAGGACGTGATCAACTGTGTTCCAGGTACATGCAGAAAACAGCAGAGACAGCAGCTGAAAGTTCTTTTCTGCATGCAAAGCCATCATCTTTCATTAGCATCCACTGATAGCATGAACACTGATGCCAACATTTTTCAAAGTCGACAGAAGCAACTTGGCTCCTCCACAGAGCCTTGTGAGTCAGTTCAGCAGAAATCAATATCTCCTTTCTATTCCCTTCCTGCCCTCTGAAGTGGCCTACAGCCCTGTGGCTTTTGCTCCTGCCCTCCCCTACTTATAGCCATCCAAAGGATCTCTCCTCCTTGCCCCTATTCATTCACACTTCTTTGCTTTCAGGGTAGAGCAGGTGCATCATACACCTGTCAAAATGTACCCCCAGAGCATGAAAGAGCAAGTAGCACACCCCAAGAAGGGATTTGCCATGTAAATAGGGCACACTGGACATAGGGCCATCATAAGCCCAGAGAACTAATCACCAAAGCAGGAGGTGGCAGAGAGAAATATTCATGGTAAATGACAACCCTCTTGTCTCCATAACTACTTGACAGACTTTAAGGAGGCTGATCAAAAGGCCCCAATCTTGGATTCATCATAAACTTCTCTAGGAGTTGAAAACATACAGATTTCTAGATCCTGACTACAAAAGTTTTAATTCATTGGGTTGGAGTAGAACATGGCAATCTGTGATTGCCCAAGAGATTGATATTCAGGGGACAGTTCTTCAATGACCCAGTGCTTCAGAGCTAGTGATCAAACTTCCCAGGTATCAGACCTCAAGTTCCTCATGATTACAGCCATCCAGCTCCCCTGTCCATCCTAACCATGAATGTGTTCTCCTAAGAGTCTGACTTTCTAACACTTGCAACTCTCCAGATACCCATTGGTAAACTCAAGACATCTTTAATTCTTTGTATTCCATATTAAGTGCATTTTTTGGAAGGTTAGGGATGTAGTTCAGGGGTAGAGTACTTGCCTAGAATGAGCAAGGCCCTTCCCAGCACCTCCAAAATGCATTTTCCTGAAGA